TTTTGTATTTTTAGTAGAGACGGGGTTTCTCCATGTTGGTCAGGCTCGTCTCAAACTCCCGACCTCAGGTGATCCGCCTGCCTCAGCCTCCCAAAGTGCTGGGATTACAGGCGTGAGCCACCGCGCCCAGCTCTAATTTTTCGTTCACTTATTTTATCCTAACAATTTTCCCAATACTAATTTAAAATCATTGTAATGACTAGAAAATATTACAGAGACTGGCTATGGCATAATTTATTTAACTATTCCCTTTTAGAAATAATCTCTAATATTACAATGAATGTTCTATATACACTAAGCTTTATTGAGACCCTAATTATTCCCTTAGTATAAATTCTTGGAATTCCACTTGAAGTAAAATTATTGGATATTTTAACACCCTACTTACATACTGCCAACTTCCTAGAAGTATTACAGTAATTCACACTGCCAACATTAGATGAGAATGAATTTTCATCACACCATCGCCATTGCTAAACCTTATTTTTCATTTCTCTTTGCCAATTTGATTTCTTAAAAGGTTCGCTGTTGTAATTACAAGCAAGGTTAAATATTTTATCATGATTGACTATCCAAATTTCTTCTTGTTAAAGCAATCAGTTCTTTTCATTTTTAAAAGATGGCAACAGGCAGGGCATGGTGGCTCATGCCTGTAATCCCAACACTTTGGGAGGCCAAGGAGTCAGGAGGATCACTTGAGCCCAAGAGTTTCAGACCAGTCTAGGCAACACAGTGGACTCTGTCTCTACAAAAAATAAAAAATTAGCCAGTGTGGTGGCACATGCTTGTAGTCCCAGCTACTCAGGAGGCTGAAGTGGGAGGATCACTTGAGCCTAAGAGTTCAAAGCTGCAGTGAGCTGTAATCATACCACTGTATCCCAGTCTGGGTGACAAAGACCTTGACTCCAAAAAAAAAAAAAAAAAAGTGACATTGACAGTCATAGACCTTGGCGCAGTGTATGGCAACACAATAAGTAATGCTAGTAAATAAGTAAAGGCTAGTTACTTTTATTTATTTGCCCTAAATCATTTTGATCCCAGAATTTTTTCATCTTATAACTGAAAGTTTGTATTCTTTGGCAACTAGTGTTCTAGTCTTTGCTTATACAAGTTCAACCATTTTTTAGTGACTGGGTCTCCCTCTGTCGCCCAGGCTAGAGCGCAAAAGAATAATCATAACTCACTACAGCCTCCAACTTCTGGGCTCAAACTGTCCTCCTGCCCTAGCCTCTTATTTTTGAGATGGAGTCTCACTTTGTCGCCCAGGCTGGAGTGCAGTGGCGCAATCTCGGCTTACTGCAACCTCTGCCTCCCGGGTTCAAGTTATTCTCCTGCCTCAGCTTCCCGAGTAGCTGGGATAACAGGCATGTACCCTCACGCCTGGCTAATTTTTGTATTTTTACTAGAGACAGGGTTTCACCATGTTGGCCAGGCTGGTCTCAAACTCCTGATCTCAGATGATCCACCCATCTCGGCCTCCCAAAGTGCTAGGATTACAAGTATGAGCCACCACACCCAGCCCTGCCCTAGCCTCTTGAGTAGGTAGGACTACAGGCATGTACCACCACACCTGGCTAATTTTTTAATTTTCTTTCCTTTTTTTTAGACGGAGTTTCACTCTTGCCCAGGCTGAAGTGTAATGGCGCGATCTTGGCTCACCGCGACCTCTGCATCCTGGGTTCAAGTGATTCTCCTGCCTCAGTCTCCCGAGTAGCTGGGACTATAGGCATGCGCCACCACGCCCAGCTAATTTTGTATTTTTAGTAGAGAC